CATTTGTGGCTGGCCTTCTTTTGAATTCGTCTGTAAATATTGACAAAGTTCTTGGCATAGAAAACAGAAAACCTTAAGTGAAGAAACCAATATTCCTTACACCAAAACAATGCATCCTTATCTCCCTTTCTTACTACATCCACCATAATACCTCAATGTCTCCATGAAAGCCCTAATTATACCCGATATGTACAATTCATTGTCTGTGTCGGGAGGGGAATAAAGCAACAATTTAAAAACTATCCCCAATGAGTAGTTACAATATAAAAACAAAATTATTTACAAGAAACTAAACAAAATAATGTTAGTAATAATCCCCAAAATCTTTAAATGTGGCAGAAACATCAGTTAACTGGACGAAATTAATGCGGGACTCTTAATATAAAATCAATCATTCATCACAAACACTCACTCATACGCACACTCATACAGACACAACAACAAATACGAAAATCACAATAGAAACGAACGACCCACATCTAGCAGAGAACTGACATCACTGTCCACCTAAAACAAGGGAGGGGTTAGGAAATTAAACCAAAGAAAAATGGGGACAGAAATAAAAGAGGCCAGCGAGCATTCATCACCTAGTTAACTTGAAGGAAGAAACTAAAGACAAACGGAAACTCAAAGTAGCCTAAAGCCAGGCGGGGGTTAGCCTAAATTAAACCCAGGAAGAACAATATCCTGATGCCTAAGCGCCATCAAAGTGCCACTCCAATTCAGCCTCTTTCACTCGACACAAACGCGCAAGATTCACTCACCTTTTGCCAAATTCTGATGAAGAGAGTCACTGCATTTCCGTCCTAATCTTGACTTCAAGCTGATGCTTAAAATACAAGATTAGTTGGGAAAGAGTGAACTTCCCTCCTCCATAGAATCTCTTCTGACTTGTTCAAACCAAGAATGATAATCCCTAGCAAGCAAAAGAATACGTAGTGTTCAGCCTTAGTCAACAGCTGTACCATATTGCTACAAAGACAAAGAACTTTCCTAGCAGCATGCAAACCATGAGGCCGTCAACAACGGCGCTACGACCCTGCAATGAAAGAAGGCGTGACCCAGGGTATCGACCTCTCCATTACAGCGAACGCAGTTTGGAAATCTCTCCAAGCCCGCTGAACAAAGTCTTTTGGCAACCCAACCAGGTGAGTAATGGCTCATCGTTATTGAGGCATTTCAACCGGGTTGCCCAAGGCCATATTGAGCAAGTCTCTTGCTTAGTAAGACTGAGATCATCAATTATCTCATCAGGAACGAACTCCCTAACACATAATTTAATAACTTGCGAGACGTTGGAGAGGTCATTCGACGCCCATAAGAGGCGTTTCAGAGCAATACGACATTCGCGATAGAAGCAGCATTCGGCTCGGGGTAAAGGTGGGCCTCCTCCTCGCACACTACTCAGGGATAAAAAGGTCTTACGTGTGTCTTTTCAGAAGGCACCCTCCTCATCCAAATCGCGACACATTCGATCTAGGAACGTAATACGATATTGATGAATCTCACTGCTAAGCATACCCAGACCGCCTTCAGACGGGTGGAGGTAATAGATCTCCCGATATACCCTAGCGTCTTTGCCTCCTCAAAAGTAGAACAAGAGCCTTACTAATTTTTCGGACATTAGTAATTTTGTGTTAGTAATCCGAATGAAAAGACATTCGGATTACTAACACAAAAACAGAGAATGTCTCATGTCGAGAATATTTAACATTGAACATAAGGAAAAAATTAATTATTTTTAATAATAAGTGGAAATCTCCGCTTTTACCCGAAGACGGTCGCGAGACCAGAAACACGTGTAGTAAAATTATGTAAAACAAAGCATAATATTTTTTCTAAATAAATCCACATTACAGCCAAAAACGTTTGCGGCACCCTCTTCTCTTCTTTTTAATATACATACTTTTCTCTCGTTGGAACCACTACAACCCTCTTTTTTTTATATATATATATATATATATATATATATATATATATATATATATATATATATACACTTCAGTTCAAATGTATGAACCCACACCCAGAATTGGCAAGGGATGAACTTGACAGAGGAGGGAAAAATATAAAAATGAAAAAGAACTATTAGCGTCATTGAAAAGGAATGCAGTCAATTATCAAACTTATGCTTTGAAAAATATTTGCAACGAATGCCAAAACTTTGTCCTACAGCAATCAAGACGAAAGGAGGATATTTTGACGAGAGTAAAATTTAATCCTGAAATGATCTTTTTTCTATTTGCCATAATAAAATTTCAAAGAAAATCATGCCTACCTTTTCTTCAACCATGCATAATAATTTTTTCTTATTTAAAGTACAAAATATGTACTTTTTGAGCCATTTTAAAAGATTACAAGCTGTGGCCTCGAACATTTGAACTGTAATATATATATATATATATATATATATATATATATATATATATATATATATATATATATATAATTGCAGTTATTGACATATAATGATTGTCACGGATCATAAAGAGAAATAAGCTCAAAATAGAAACGATAAAGTTATTGAGTTACGAGAAAACAAGTAGGGAAGTTGTGAAAAATTAAAGAAAAATCACAATACACATAAAATTAAAACATTAGCAAGAAAAAAAAAACTCTGTTTACACTCCTATTACAATCTTAACGTGTTCAAGTTTAGGGTTAAATTTTATCTTCTGAACATATCCGAATAAATTGTACATCTTACTCTTATTTTAAGACATTCTTTTTTATGTTTATCCATTCTTATTTATAGATACAAATATTTAAGTAAATGCTCTGCTTTATAATAAACAGTATTAAACAACATTTACCGGCCTGAATGTGCGAGAAATATTCATAGAAAATATACGTCCTCCGACAGGAATCGAACCTCTATCCTATACGGAAACGTCATATAGCCTGACATGCTTTTGCCGATTGGGCCACAGAGGAGCGTTTGGGTTAGCAATGTCAATTTTACTGTTTTTAGACTACAATTCTCCATGTTTTTCCTCATATATTCATATCTGCTCGATGCGTATCCAAATGTATATAAATGACGTTAGACATTATGAAATGGACAAAGTCTGACAATTATTTTATGACATTTTTTTATGTTTATACTTTCTTTTTATAGATACAAATATTTAAGTAAATGCCCTGTTTATAATAAACAGTATTAACAACATTTGTCGGAGTTTGTCCATTTCATAATGTGTAACGGTCTTACTGTGTAACCCTCTAACTCTCTCTACGCTATCTCTAATTACTATGGTAGGTGTTCTCATGCACTACACTTCGTACTTCCACCAATCCTAATATTCAATCATGAATCGCACATTGTAGTGAACCCTAGTCATTCGCTTTGTATTCCATTGGGGAAAATATGTTTCACACGAGCAGTTTCTTTCCATGAACCGTTGCTTCATGAATCCAACTCCTAAGAGGTTGCTTCCCATCTCACTACAACCTTAATTTCAATTTTAGGGTTAACTAATATCTTCCGAATATATCTGCATTAGTTGTACTTCTTTCTCTGTAAACCTCTTCCTCTCTTTGCTCTATTGCGAGTTGCCATGGTGAGGTCGCATACACTACCCTCTTTACGTCCACCAGTCCTCACCTTTACAACTAAGACCCGCCTTACCACGTACATTGTAGCGAAGCATCATCATGCTCTTCATATTACATTGGTGAGATTAAGTTCCACAAGAGTAGCTTCTTTTTATTGAACCGTTGCTTCGTGTAACCAACTCCCATGAGGTTGCCTCCCCTGTCACTACAATCTTAATATGTTCAAGTTTAGGGTTAACTAATATCTTCCGCACATGTCAGCATTAGTTGTAACTCTTATTCTCTAAAACTCTACCTCTCTCCTCCCTAATTACAACGGTGAGGGTTCGGGTGCACGACACTGCTTACTTCCAGGAGTGTTAACCTTCAGAGCTAAATCCCACCATGCCATGAATATTGTAGCAAACAATCTTTATTCCTTTTGTATTCCATTGGTGTGATATATGTTCCAAATAAACAGTTTCTTTCGATGAACGGCTGTTTTATGGAAGCAACTCCCAAGAGGTTGCTTCCCCTCTCATTACAATCTTAATATATTTCTGTTTGGGTTAACCGTTACCTTCCGCATATATCCACATAAGTTGTAACACCTCATTCTCTCTCTCTCTCTCTCTTTCTATCTATCTCTCTCCCCTCTATCGATAATTACAATGGTGAGGGTTTGGATGCACTATACTCCTTACTTCCAACAGTCCTAACCCCCACGGCTAAGACCCTACATGCCACGCGTATTTTACCGAACCCTTTATATCGCCTTATTATTCCACTAGTGAGATGTGATTAACACACGAACCGCCCAAGAGGTTGCTTTCCCTGTTTCTTCAAACTTTTCATGTTATAATTTAGTTTTAACCTTTATTTTCCGCATTTTACCTCTTACTCTTTAAACCTCTATCTTGAATGGACCCAGGGCCCTGTACAGGGTAAACACCACTATACAAAAAAAAAATACTGAACGTAAAATCGATTTACATTAATGAAATAATTATTTGATCGAAAATAAATAAAGCAGCCGCTGATGAAATTGATAACTTTTCTCTTTAATTTTCATTTAGATATGCGTGTTTTTTTGTTTTTTTTCATTAATAAAATCCAAACCCATATGAATCATTTGAACTGTGTTCAGAGAAAAAAAAAATATAGTGATAATGTCAGGGTTAGTTTCGTTATTTATGATCGGAAAATTTTCTATATTCTGTACGAGATGGCTCATCTCCAAGGCAACATGCTCCAACGCCCTAGAATTCGTTTTGTCATTGGATCCACACTAACGCCTTGAGCAATATTCCTATGAATTTGATAAAATATCTTTCTTATATATGTAAATATATTCTTCGGTTTCCAATTTTAAAACATTTTGTGTAACAAATAGAGAAAGTGTAAACACCAGAAGGATGATGAAATCTTATTAGACACTGATTAGGTACCAGAAAGACAGGGTGGAATTAACCCAGAGAGAGAGAGAGAGAGAGAGCAAATAAACACCAGAGATAGGATTTTAAGCTGTAGAGAGAGGTGGGACGAGAGAGATGAAACACAAGAGAGGGAGAGCAGTGTGCATCAGAAGATAAGAAAAGAACAGACACCAGAGAGAGGGGGAGGAGATACCATAGAGAGAGAAAGAGAGAGAGAGAGAGAAGTGGAGAGCATAAGGGAAGAGGATTAGGCACCAGAGAGAAAGAGAAAGAAAGAAAGAAAGAGAGAAAGAAAGACAGAGGGAGGCGAGACGAGTAGATACAATTTAGAGCAAGAATAGACACGAGAGGTGGGGAGTGACAAACAGGAGAGAGATTACGAGTAGACATCAGAGAGGAGGTACGTGATAGAGAAAGTGGGAGAGAAAAAGAGGAAGAGGTTGAGGATGAGGTACCAAAATGATTGAGAGAGGGGGAAAATGGAGGTGAGTCTAATATATACCTGAGAGAATACAACTTAGCAAATACATTCACGAAATGATTAGCCCCAAAGAGAAAAGACATGGGTTATTTTCTTTTTTCTCTTTTCTTGTGCCATTCTTTGTTTTGTTCTGTTCACCTTTGCAATATAATGGCACATTCGGCTATTGGAAACGTAAAATCTTATTCGTCCCTTATTTCCAGTTGTGAGTAATCACTTATACAAATTAACCAGGTAAGTCAATAATGGAAAATTACTTTTTTCCAGGTGTTAACTGAACTAGACGTGGTAACAACATTATCTTTATCAACATATTTCGCGTAGATACAAGACGCATAGAGAAAGGAATTCATATCTGCCCTATATCAACACAGGAGCAGATCAACTGCATTTCGAAATGCCTTTGCTCACTATGACGTCTGTGATGATAATTGTTATTGATAGTAGTACTAATCTATTTTGATACTTATCTAATGTTGTTTTAACTATTTCTATTACTATTTTTATTTACAAAGTTGTGATAGTCAAGTAGAAACTGTCTACTGTAAATTGGTTTATGAGAGCTTTAATGCTGTTTGAGTCTTTCATTGTCACGACATCTTATGTGGCTCGAATTGGAATTCCGCAAATGAGATTGCTGTTTCACAGTGTCTCGCATTGGCTGTTTCCAGAGTTGCACCGTTTCAATTTCTCACTGAAAGTCAAAAGCCATCACTAGTCGAAAAATCTTCTTGACAGCACAACGCAAACTTACTGTCTCCCACAGAGGAATGTTGCCGATTGCTTGTCAGTAACGGAGACACAAAAGACTTACTGAAGAATCTTGAAGGTAGGAATTCTTTTTTTTTAACAGGAAATCTCACATTCTTTCTAACAGTTGATTAATCAGTTCACGGAACAATGAAATACTGCACCATAGACTATTTTTCTGTTTTTATTATGAAACATGTAACCGGCTCTGTAAAATATAACGTACTACAGAGATACGATACATTTTCAACAACCAGTTTGCTTCTATATTAGATATTATCTATTGCTATTTTACACACTTGCTCAGTGCTCAAAGAAGAAGACATATTTTCATTAGGAACTTGACATTTAATCATCTACAATCCTCTCTCATTATTATCTTATATATATATATATATATATATATATATATATATATATATATATATATATATATATAAGAGAGAAAGAACAATCAAATTAAGAATCTACATTTCTTTAGCAATTTTTTTTTAAGTGCTAAAAAAATAATACTTCCGGAAGGCTATTCAGCATCAGACGTCTAAGTGCAAACCCAAAGATCTTGATGAACCTGGTTCAGGATCTGCATTATGTTGACGATTATGATCTTGTCGCTCACACAGAGGCCAAGATGCAGCGCTCGATGGGTACCTTTGAAACAGCATGCACACATTTGGGACTAATAATCAGTCTAAAGAAGACAGTTGTTTCGTACCAACCAGCAACTGTGGAGCCCTATTGAGAACCCAACATCTATGTATATGGTCAGATACTGAAAGTGGTCGGGAACTTTGTGTACTTGTGTAGCACACTAAGCATGACTGGGACACTTGATGACGAGGTGTAGTTGAGAATAAGTAAAGCGAGTGGAAAACGAAAGAAATGACTCTGAAGGCGCTGCGAGATCTCTTTAGGGACAAAGATAAAAGTCTATTATGCATGTGTGCTCTCTGATCTTCTATATGCCTGTAAAACTTGGACCACATACAGAAAGAACATAAAGCATGTTGAACGCTTCCACCAACAATACCTCAGGAGTATCCATGGTGTTCACTGGTAAATGTGTGTTAGTGACGTTGAGGTAGGGCAACAAGGCCGGTGTCAAAGCGTAGAATCGATCATTTTCAGCATCGATTAAGATGGAGCAGGCATTTAGTCAGAATGTAGAACGAACGACTGCCCAAAGAACTCCAGTATGGCGAAATTCTTGTAGGTAAGCGGCCGGCTCAGAATCCGAAAATGAGTTCCAAGGATTGTTTTAAACTATTTTTAAGGATGTTCTGAACTTGGAGATCAAGGCATTGGATCGAAGAAAGTGGAGGAGATAGGTTCATACAAGAAAGAATTTGTTTGAGAAAGAACGTGTTGAACATGAAAAGCTTAAAAGAGATGTCCGGAAGGGCTACGTAAATGAAACAAAAGACGAAATGGGTAATCAGGTTGGTTTGCAAATGTGTTATATGTGAGCGAGTCTATTTGACCCTAACTGGTCTGAAAAGTCACGGGAGAACGCAGCAAGAGAGAGGATTGCACGTTACTTGATAATACAACGTAATGCGTGTAGAAAAGTGCATGCTAAATTACATGTTAAATACACATTAAAATACATGGCAATGACAATGCAGGGACTGTTGTCATTGATGTCCATGTCGGCCATTCCTGTAGCAAAGAATGTCTTTAGCAGGATGTAAAATCCTCACGTGAACAGCTTATAGTTGAGCTCTAATATGGATATTCAAACAATGGTAATGCTCGAACACAAGTCTGCAGCCACCATAATCACACCATGTTCCATTGATAACTCGATGTTATATAAAGAGTGAGGCAATTCCACTGCGCGGCATATTTAGAAAGTACTTGAAAACCATACGACGGGTTGACCCAATCTTTATGACTGCTTGGAAGTCGTCGATGGTGGTGGTTGAACGAAGTCGCAAGTCATCGTGGCCGAGGCTTTGAATGTACTGTCTTGTTCAAGGAATTAATGGCTCTAGATTATGCGCTTTCGGTCAGAAAATGCAAATAAGGGCTGCTCAGCATAATCTTAATATAAATCACAGATCTTATCTGTGGGTTCAAAAGCTTTCTGTAATAATGTTTGTTCGAAAAATAGTAGATATATATATATATATATATATATATATATATATATATATATATACCTAGGGAGAAGGGGGAAATCGGTGTTTCATTAAAACCAGTTATCTAAGAAATAAATAAGTTTTGGTTTAGTTACGTATTATTTTCAAATGTTTTCAGAGATCAGTGCTTAATTTTTTGGAAAAAAACTATTATTTGCAATTCGAATTCACCAAGGTAGGAAAAAGAAATTCCTAGCGTTATTTTGTAATTTTTATACAGACCTTACATCAAAAGAACTCTCCGCATTGATATACAATTATTTATCTTTCAGCTTATATATATATATATATATATATATATATATATATATATATATATATATATATATATATATATATATATATATATATATATATATATATATCTATATATAAATACATATATATATATATAAATATATATATATATATAAATAAATATATATATATAAATATATATATATATATATATATATATATATATATATATATATAAATATATATATATATATATATATATATATATATAAATATATATATATATATATATATATATATATATATATATATATATATATATAAAAATATGTATGTATATATAAATATATATATATATAATATATGTATATATAAATATATGTATATATATAAATATATGTATGTATATATAAATATATATATATATAATTATATGTATATATAAATATATGTATATATAAATACATATATATATATATAAATATATATATATAAATATATGTATATATAATATATATATATAAATATATATATATAAATATAATATATAAATATAAATATATATATATATATATATATATTGCTACATAAACTGTATCAATTAATTGAGTTGCAACAAAATTTTAAAAACATATATATTAATACAAATTTCTTCTCAAAATTAAGTCGTAAGTTAATAGAAAAATATCAATGTTAATCAATAAAAACAAAAATAATAGAAATCTTAGCTTATAAATAACGATATTTTTTTTGTTTTAGATGCAATCAATGTATATCATTTAAAATTGGTTTTTTTCTTAAATGCTTAATATTATTCTTGTTTTTTTGAACGCTGGCATTCGCAGTGAATGGACAACTTTTTCATCACTCCAAAAAAAAAAAAAAAGCAGGAATTATGATTATTCATTAATTTATTTAATGATTTATGTATTCTTTTTATCATATTATTGTATATTTATTTATGACAACACCCATTTCACTTACTTATGGCCAATATTTGTTTATTATTTCGGTTAAGTGATATACACCGTTTGTCTTTTGATTCTTATTCGTCTATTTAATATATTATTTTTATTACGAGTTATTATATCATTTTATTACGAATATTAACACATTATATTACTAATTTATCTTTCTATATTTGCTAACTTATTTATATATTGACAGAAAAGATTGACTTTTACATAGATAGAAAATTTGGAAATCTGCCGATTGTTTTTACCAAAATTGCCTGAAGATACTGAAAGGTTGAAACCAAGGTAGCGGAATAGATTGATTTCTTAATTTTCTATACTTAAAAGCTATAAACCCGTGTCACGTACTTTGTCTGATCCAGGCTTTCATATGGATGCTATGCATGGCGCCAAATTTGTTCAAAAGTATCTAAACTGTCAAATGTATACAACCGCGTTCACAGATCTAGAATTAAAAATAGCTTCCAGCGAATGAAGCCTGTAAGTATTAGCGAGGGCTAACGTTTTTCAAACGTTATGGATTGGCGCTACAGAAAAATAAAGGAAAAAATATCAACGAGTAACCACGTCAGTTGAGGACTTTCAACAGCAACAATAACTAAAATGGATAACGCATCTAATTTAGTGAAAATAATGACATGATCAAGATGTTCATATTCCATAATACTTCAAACAACAGGTTAAGAAGAAACCACACCTCCCCCCTCAATAACGGAAAGTGCGATTAGAGTTAGTGAACTTGAGAAATGTATTTTTCCAAAAAAAATTTTTATAAAAGATTTTATAAATTTATGAATTTCAACCGACAGCAGTAGTGTCAGCTCGGTGAATGAATGCCGAATTTTCCTTATAAGGAAACGGTTAATATTTCTAGACCTATTACAGATATGAAATAACTACGAAGGTGGTCAAGATATAAAACATCATTTAAGTGCATATAAAGCATAATATTTTGATGTTACTTTGATGAGTATTATTTAT